CAAAATCTGCTAATAATCTTCACCATATACACAAAGCCTGTTCATAATTTATATTCTGCTTAAATATATATATATTTTTAAAATCAGCATCAATATCTGTTCAGAATCTTTTTAATCTAATTCTTTTTTATAAGATCCCTTCAAAACTAACAACTTTCATTTTTTTTGCAAAATCTGTACGGGATCTTCAAAACCTGACAACCACCAAAATCACAATTCAAAATCTGTTTAAAAAAAAAATCTTCCTCCTTTTCCCCGGTCTTCTTTCGTCGCCATAATTTCTATCGCCCGCTGATGCTCTTTTGTTTCTCTGCTGGGCACGTGTTCTGAATACTCTTGTCTCGCTGCTAAACAGATCAAATAAAGGATTATCATTATTATTATTCCTGTCATCTACACGGCGCGTCTGCGAACTCCAACGTAAGACTAAGCTTTTAATGGAACATGATGATGAAGCATTCCGTAAATGTTTGCCCTAATCGCCCTAACTGGCAACTCACCCACACGCGATGCTTTGGAATCGTATTATGCTTTTTGGTAAACTTTTCTGATATCTAAAGCGATTAATAGTTCAAATTAATGTAGCATCAAATTTGTTCGCATGTGGCCTCTTCTTTTACTTCATCTGATGTAATAGTGTTCGTTTTTCTTCTTCTATGTTATCTATTTTTGTCAGTTACTTTTATATCATATAATTAAAAGTCTCACTTTCATACATAATTATTGTGTTGCAACTCTGAAGTTCAATTGCGGATCACTTCAAACGTCAACATTAATTCCAATGATCTGAAATTTATTTACGCCATTCATATAAACGAACATCTCTCTGCATTAGATTTTACACGCTGGACAACGCTATAACTTCCTTTCAACGAGTAGTCGATTAACACACGGGCACCTACTATTAACATTGAGGCCATGTAATACTAATCATTTTGGAAGGACGAATAAAACGCCTTGCTTATTCATAATCATTTATTTACCTCAGTACTCATGGAAAAGCGTAATGAAAAGATTGTTTAATACACTGTATACAATGCACACCTCACTCATTACAATCGCTGAAAGGCAAATAACATCCTGCAAATACAAAACGTGATGTTCGTGCATGTTAAAAGTACAGAGCAATCAAGAAACGAGATAGAACAACACTCTCCTGCACCCAATGTGTTGGTTAAAAACAACAGAAACATACAACGGTTTACCGAGAGCGAGAAAAAAAGTTTATGGAAGAAGTTACCGACTGATATTTTAGTTCTCTAAACACCTCTTCATCAGAATGATTAATGTAGCCTGATATATTCTCTCTCTCTCTCTCTCTCTCTCTCTCTCTCTCTCTCTCTCTCTCTCTCTCTCTCTCTCTCTCTCTCTCTCTCTCTCTCTCTCTCTCTCTCTCTGTCGGTATGTGATAGCTCTAAGATTCTTATCCACACATTATACAAAATAACTGGCACGACTTGAATCAAAATAGATGCTCATTACTTCTCTCTCTGCAACTAAAACCACATTCAAGCGCTTGTACCAATCTAGGAAACGGGTGAGGGGAAAATGAGGACAACATGAATCACAATTTGTACCACCGGGAAACTATTTCTTACTATTTCAGGCTGTTCGGCGCGGTCAGTCAGAAGAGGAGAAAAATAAATATTGCTAACTCAGCTCAATGATAAATGCGACAGTCTCTTGTCAGCTGAGCAGGGAGTCCACCCCCTACGGTGCACAGCTGACAGACAAGTTGGTAAGTGTTATTACCTTTCTATAAAGCCAGTCTCATGCGGAGGGGGAACCAAGCCAATTAGTTTTCGATCTCAGTTAAAGGATGACCTGCATTATAATTGCAGACAGATACTTCGATCAGCTTCCCTACTATATATGGCGCATTTTTCCCCCCTAGGAAGTGTCGAGCTAAACTGCCTAAGTATAAACTGACAAACTATTAGCAACTTGTACTTCCTCAGCAGATGAGGTGTTTACGGGTGAGCCTAACAAAACGTATGGAGTGTTGGGATATTCTTTAAGCCTCAAAGAAACAACAGCTTTCGAAAATAAATGACTAAAACAAAGATCTCATCCACTCCACATGGTTCAAACATGTCTAATACACTTGCTCTCAGCACATACTGTGGAAATGTGTTACAAATATATATATATGTATATATATGTATGTATACTATATATATCCAATATTCTATTTACAGATCATCCGCTTAAGCATATATACGATCCAGTTCCATATGTAAAAAGCTCTTTACGAATCCAGCATATTATCGAACAGCAAATACAGTTACATCCTTACAATACTTTTTAGAAAAAAACCTCCTTTCCTTTATAACACAGAGAGAGCGCTGTAGGAAGTGACAGCTTGATAAGAGTCTGGAATAAAGTCTTTCCTTGTGTCGTTTTAACATCAGTAAGAGAATAAGAGAGTGACACAGATAGCCCGGGCTGTGGCTGGTCTGGGACAGAGGTTGCCAACTATGCTCGTGGTTTATAGCCAAAACAGGTCCCACTGTATTCATGAATGATAGCACAGTCAAGTGTAACTTAACATGGTAAGATTTGACTGCTTACATGGAAATGAATGACCTTGGTTGAAGAGAGGTAAGTAGAATTTTAGACGTTTTATGTGACACATTAAAAAATAACCGCTTCTTTGTTTCGTATAGTATTTTAAAAAAAATCTCTGCCTTTACAAAACTCCAATGTATATATATTTATATATTTGCCAAACCCTATCTTTCACCATTCGACCCGATTATGCAAAGTGTATATTTGTGCAAAAATATTGTACAGCATACTCACAGATCAAACTAGAAACTAAACTTTGCACTATGTAAATTACACTATTGAATCCATATTCTTATTCTCGTTACCTAGTAAAATATGTCTGGATTTGATTTGATTTGCAACCAAGTAGTATAGCCTTCAGAAGACAAAAGTAATTTGCTGTTAAGGAGTATCCATTGCTGTACTACAACTGACCCACGCATACATTCCAAAATGGATAATTCTATAGGGAAATATATTTTGAAAAATCTTTTCAGGTATGTAATAACTTGATGAACTTGCTGGGTATTTTATACACATCTTAACTTGAATTTGTGATTTTAAACTTGTCGAAAAACGAGTCAAAGGCTAGTTTCTACCTACCGTTATACCTAATGTAAGGATTATTTGCTCATTATTGTACAAGCTATGATGGATTCTGGGTCTGAGTTCCAAGTTACATACTCTACATGATAAAAAAAACAAAAAAACACAGGTACATTACTGCCACACTCGAGCCCCTTCATGTTATAACCAAAGGGTCATCTTTCACAGAGGTAATACTTAGGCAGGCAGTACAAGTGTTATGGGAAGCTGTTAATCTCTATCTTCAATCTGTATAAAAACTAAGATTTTCACTGATGCAATTACGCAATTTAAAAATAACATCACAAGAAAGTCAGTTACAAACGACCTTTGCCCGTAGTATTTCCCTTCAGTTCGGTTAAATGTCGACTTTAATATACCCATTTATTTGATATTTACAAAGTTTTAAATGTGTCACAATGAAATGACCGAGTGGAATAAAATTAACTATCAACTTATCCTATTTTAGTTCCTGAAATGAAATACAGTATGATTTACTACTGCATGATAAAAATAACAAAACAGTAACTTTTATTCTCTGTTAAGCAAACACGTGCTACTGCTATGAAATTCTGATAAAACGTGGTACTCTGTTCCTGTTATATTTCAAGGAGCAACTACAGTCATATCCTTTTTAAAAACACCCTTTATTAAAAATTCTTCTCACTGCATTACAAATGTTACATGCTTCTCTAACTGGATTCCTTGTAAAAATACATGAATTACATCCTTGAAATACTTTTCATATCTCTGATCATCTATTTGGCCAGAAAATAAGTCGAAGCAGACCTGCAGGAAAAAAAAAAAAAAAAAAAAAAAAAAAAAAAAAAAAAAAAACTATGTGGTGCAAAGAAATGGTCTAAGAAGCTGCATCCAGAGAGCAAAGACAAAGTCGAGATGATTGAGGACTACAATGGCATGTAATCTGAGGTTAAAACAAATACACAAGCATTGACTTCATACGCAGGTCTTTCGTTAATTGTTAATATGATGCTCATTATCTTTAATCACAAAAAAAACTATTCATGTATCATTCCCTTTTTTTTAAGTTGCCATCTTTGCCTCTTGTTCTACATATTATTGCATAATATATATGAGAGGGGGGGGGAGGGAAGTCTGAAGACGATCTGATTGAACATAAAACAAAGGAGTAAATAGATGAATGGAGAACTATAAATTAAAAGATAATGTGAAATATTAGTATGTGTTCGTTTCTAAGTGTAAATGAAAAAAAACACTGTTAAGACTACCAGTTTTTAATGGTTTATGTTGAAGTGTTATGAATGAAGATCTGATAACGTTAGAAAAAACTACCATAGGAAGAAGAAACGGATATCCCAAGTTTTTTTTTTTTAATCATCAATTATATTACTGTAAAGTTAGGAAAGCTGTCTCTGTCAGGAAAAAAAAGTCAAGTGTCACGAAGGATGGCTGTCACAATGTAATGATGAAAATGAAACCGTGATGTTGTGAAAGATGTCAGACAGTAATGTGAAAGGCGATGTTTACAGAATGTTACAATGACATGAAAACGAGTCACGATACAAACAAGTCGAGAAGATGACGGCCACAGCTGCTGCAACACCGCCACGCTCCCCCACCAATGGGTCTCGGTCGGTCGCGTCCTATTTCTCAAAGCCGGGGACAGAGTGGTGAAGAGTAAGCATCATCCAGGGGCATCCTCGAAGGCCGGAGGAAGGGAGATGGGATAGGATGCTGGAGTTAGGATGCTGGAGCTACTACTGGGTAGGAGATGCCTGCTGGGACTCCTTCTTCCCGTCTCGTCGTGAGGTGTCTTCGCTATCCCACGGCTTGGCCATCACGCGGTAGAACTTGGTGCCCTTCGGAACGCGGAACCGGTTCTCGTCCTGCAATGAACAGGGAAAGTGTTATCATCAGGGAAAAGACATCCAGGGAAAAGGCATCAAAGGAAAAGACATCAAAGGAAAAGGCATAACTGTCAAGTATGAGGGAAGGCATTGCTATGCTGCCCTTCTAAGTAAGAAGAAAAGCATTTATATAAAAAAAGAGGTTCCCATGTAACAGGGAATACTGTACTAATCAAGAAGGGAGGTATTCCTACCAAGTAACTATGACAGTTGTACTATCTTGTGAGAGGAAAGGCGTTCCTTATTAAAAGGATGGCATTCCTATCAAGTAAGAGGGAATGTGGGCCTCTCAAGTTAATGGGAATGTGTTCCTATCAAGTAACAGGGAATGTAGTGCTACTAAGTTAAAAAAAGAGCAATTCTGTTAAGCACGAGGGAAGGTGTTCTTAGCAATAAACAGGGGATGTCCTGCTAAGTAACAGGGGATGCTGTCCTATGAAGTAACAGGGAATGTCGTCCTATCAACAGTGAATCCTGTCCTATCAAGTAAAGGAGGATGTCGTCATGTCAAGTAACAGGGAATCCTATCAAATAAAAGGGAAAGCTGTCCTATTAAGTAACAGGGAAATATGTCCAACCAAGTAACAGTGAAAGCTGTCCTATCAAGTAAAAGGGAATCCTGTCCTATCAAGTAACAGGGAAATAAGTCCTATCAAGTAACAGGGAAATATGTCCTACCAAGTAACAGGGAAAGCTGTCCTATCAAGTAACAGGGAAATACGTCCTATCAAGTAAAAGGGAATCCTGTCCTATCAAGTAACAGTGAAAGCTGTCCTATCAAGTAACGGAAAACTCACCTATCAAATAACTTGATCCTAGCAAGTTTGAGGAAAGGTGTTTTTATCCAGTCACAGGAAATGAAGTTCCTATCAACAGGGAATACGTTCCTATCACATAACAGGACGGAAAGTGTTTCTATCAAGTCGCGGAGAAGGTAATATGGGCCTACAATCAGGACAGCAGGCGTTCCTATCAAGTGGAATAAAGTAATCAAGTGACAAAATAAGAGGGGAAAGTGTACGATGAAAAAAGAGGAAAGGTATTATTATAAAGAAAGTGGAAAACGTTCTAGCCATGGAATTACTAAATCATTTATGTTAATTCCATTTTGCTGGACTCGGATATTAAAAGAAACGTTAAAGATGACCAGAAAATCAATAATTCTCTTCGACTGAAATGAACAACGCACATGAATCGAGTAACTGAAACAAACAACCCCTCACCCCCCAAAAACAAATCGTTATGTTTTAACCTCTGCAAGATTTCCGAGTAAGGTAGCTCATCACTTTTTTTTTTCTCTCTCTCCCCCCCCCCCCCCCGTCTTGTGCAAATAATAAAACCACGTAAGCTTACACTCCTTTTCCCAAACGTTGCCTCTGCGAAAACATAAAACACACGCAAAAAAATACCACACCTCGCACACGGATTCAACCCAGATGCACAAAAAACACCGGGGCAGGTCAACATGCTAATTATGCAAGCAAATATATGTGTGAACGAAGACACACACTCATACACACGTACGCACGTGTATATGCATATACGCATTTTATACAGACACGCGCACGCACACACACACATACATACAGACAGACAGACACAAAAATACATACAGACACACACACACACACACACACACACACACACACACACACACACACACACACACGCACGCACGCACACACACGCACACACACACACACACACACACACACACACACACACAAACAAACGCACGCACGCACACGCACACATACGCACACGCACGCACACACGCAGTCACACACACGACTTTCAAACTCCCGAGTCGAGGCAAGAATTAACGTAGTGGACGCAGGTAATGCGAGTGTACAAAATTGTTGTGTTCCAAGTATGGTGGCGGCGGTGGTTGTTGCGGGCGGGGGGAAAGGGCGGGGGAGGGAGGGGAAGGGAGGGGGGGGGGGCAGGAGGAGGGCCGTGGGCGTGGTGGAGGGCCCCGGGGCACCTTGGCGCTCTGCCCACTGTAACTTGCTGAGATTTGAGCATCATCTGCCGGGGAGACTGGCGTGGCAGTCGGGGCAGTGAGGAGAGGGAGAGGGGAGAGGGGGGGAAGGGCAACGGGGACAGGGAGGGTAGGCAGGCACCGTGGAGGGAGGGGCAGGGAGGGAGGGAGAACATCGTGGAGGGAAGGGTAGGAGAGGGTGTTTACCAGGGACGACGGGACAGGGAATGGGCGGCAGGAGAGAGACGCGGGGAGGGGAGGGGAAGGAGGGGGGACGAGGAGGAGGAGGGGGGGGGGCGTGAGAGGGCAACACCCCGGCCACATAAATCACTGCACATATCAGTCGCCAGTCCAAGCCCGGTCTACACGTCTACACGCCTCTACACGCCACTGCTAAAATCTATCCTCCGGCCCACCCGTCCATCTAATTCCCCCCCCCCCCCCAATCGACTGACACTGGCGATACAAACTGCTGACACTGCTGGCGCTTCCCTCTAGCAGCGTCGACAGCGAAAGGGAGAGAGGGCGGCGCCGTTGGCAAGGAGAGAACGCTTCATTTCTAGACAGTAGGGATAAATATTTAGAAAATAAATAAATGCATAGAGACAAAGACACAAACAAACAAACACACACACACACACACACACACACACACACACACACACACACACATATATATATATATATATATATATATATATATATATATATATATATATATATATATATATATATAGGCGGGGGAGGATACTGGCCGCACTGCTTCGCCACGGACAGACAGCAGCCGCCCTCACACAACCCCAGCCGCGACCGGAGCGCTTATCCGGCACCTCCGGATCGGGAGCTGATCGCATCTCGCGGCGGCGACACACACGCTCTCATTATGTCCTCGGCGTCAGCGGGTCGCGCACAATCAGGGGCGTCATCTGCAACCCCCCCTCCCTATCACCGGCAACGGAGGGAGAAATCGGGCACATGCCTACATACATACATACAAGCATATATACATGCATACATACATATATACATACATACAAACATATATACATACATACACACTCATTCATACACACACAAATATATATACTACTACCCCCGCTACTACGCCTCTAGTCGTCAATGAAGACGGCCTCCTCCGGCGAAGGGACGGGCTCGTCACTGCAGCGCCAAGACCCACACGCAATGCCTACAGCGGGCAAATGGGCATTTCCTACCCCATACATGCGTATAAATGTCATTAATAGCTAAATGTCCTCCCACTATAAGTTCTCATAATCAGGTTACTATTATTTCACGTTGCTCAATCAGGTCACGTCTATACTTTGCACCTGCAGGTCGTTTGTGGCAAGGTCAAGGATGTGCATTGTGCGTTTGCCGATCACCAGGTCATGTCTCTAGTCTGCAAGTCATATCAATAGTTTGTACGTACTGCCGATCAGGTTATATCAAGTCATCTCTGTAGTTTAAATATACGTCTCTCAAGCTCATTATAGTCTGTAACTGACAGTCTCCAGGGCATCTCTATAGTAACGAATGCATAGTCAATAAGTCTATACCTGCCGGTCACCATGTCATGCCTGTATGGTCTGTACCTACTGGTTACCAGGTCATGTGTACAGTCCGTACACACAGCTCACCGGGTCATGCCTACAATCCGTACCCACTGATGAACACATGTTTGCAGCTCGTAGCTTCATGAATAAAACATGTTCTCATCTTCCAGCCATAGATAAAGAGATATCATCTACTCCCTTTACCAGCATGATGTCCGACCTGCTCCTTCACCCACTCCCCCCTAAGCACGACTGGCCTGCTACCTCCCCTTCACCCCCGTCTTCCCCTGCCCCCTTCCTTCTCCTCCTCCTCCCCCTCCCTACCATTCACCCGTCCTCTCCCCATCCACCCCTCCCCCCTCCCCTCCCCGCGGCCGTAGTGTGGCGTGTTGTCTTCCCGGAGGAGCGAGGTTGGGTGGCAGGATACGTCACAAACCTGCCTCGCCAGGACCCGTGTCCTCGGGGCTAAATCACTGCACACGGACCGGTGGGTGGGCGGGACCGGGGGTAGGAGGGCACGAGGGCATGTGAGGAGGGTGGGGGGGCTGGTGGCAAGGAGGGAGGGTGCCCGTGGGGGATGGGGGAGAGGGAGAGGGCCTCCTAGCAGGTGTTTTTGGTATAAATCAAGGGCGTGTGGGCGTAATGAGGCAGCTGTACAAGTGGGCGGGGAGGCGGTACAAGCACAAGCAGGGTCGGTGTCCCCCGCCGCACCTGCCGCCCGCTAGAGCCGCCCTCGGGCCGCCCATCCACCTCCCTCATCCGCACTCACCCGCCATCTCGGGCGGGCCTTCTGCATCCGCTCCCCGGTCACCCACCCGCCGTCCTTCATCCATCCTCCAGCCAGCCAGCTCGGCCGCCCCCGCCCAACCGCCGCCCGTGCAGCCCGCCCATTCAACAACCATTGAACCCACGCTGAGCCCCGTCGCCCGCGCCCCACGCCCACTCTCGCCGCGGGGAGGTCGGGAGAGCGCCGTCCACATGTCACCGCGACGTCGAGCGCTTCCTCCGCCGCCGCCGCCGCCCGAGGCCCCGACGCCAGCAGCGCGCGAGCCGTAACGCCGGTGCCGTCGGGGCGATAATGACCATGTTTACGAGTTATGGCACGGGCGGGCGGGCGACTCTATCTCCACGGCGGGGCGAGCGGGCGGGCGGGCATCGCCGGCTTCTGCTGATGCGTATTTCTTGTTAAGGCTTTTTTAATATAATAATAACATAGTTGTGTGCGCGGAAACTGGTAGTGATTTATCTTTCTTTGCAAAAATTGTGGTGAATATTTTTGCCAATCGCATCCGAGCCATTAACGACGCCAACGTGCATCAGGGCGGACTTGCCACTCGGAGGTTTTCCCTCAACGCTTATGACTTGCAATGTCCTGTCAAATTATTTTCTATGAATGAGTCTAAATACGGACATACACATGCACGCGCGCGCCCACACACACACAC